GCGGCAAGTGTACGGGAGTGACCCAGAGGGAGTAAGGGAGAGAGTAAAGGCTCCCGGACCCCCTCCTCGCCTCTGACCCGAGCATGACGTACTATGGAATGAAATACTCCCTTGGTCAGTTGGGGTCAGGTGCCTGAACTGTGTGTCCCCTCTCCACTGCCTGTAGCGAGACAGTGAGAACTGGGAACGCAGCTGCAGTGTCAGAAGCGGAGAAAGACCTTGAAACTGGTACAGGCATTCCCCAGCGCCAGCTAAAACCTTATCAGTGCTGCTCTCAGCATAAATTCAGGAACAGCTTCCTAGCAGCCACGGTAAAGAGAGTTAACTCTTTCCTGACTGAACCCAGCACACCAGTTAAAAGCAGAAGCATTCTTTGCATAATCCAAGTCTGCCTTAAGAACACACTTCAAGAAGTCTTCCCTGGCAAGCTCAAGGCAAATTACTCTTGAACAAAGTGATTGTGTGCACTTGTTTTCTTGTTCTTTTTTTTTGGTTCTTAGATGGAAGGTATGATTATTTAGAGGTGTACGGGGCGGGGGGTGGTGGGAGGAATTGCCAGCCTTGTATTGCTTCTGTTTATGGGTTGTAAAGTAAATAATTGTCATACGTTATTTTCTCCTGAGATGTTAATTCACTCTTTAAAATAGTACTTTGATAGTTTAAATGAGAGAGATCATAACAGGCAATCTGTTCCACAGTTTGAACATTGCTAGCAAGATTTTGATGACGTGATTCTAATGTTCGGAGAATATGAGAATTTTTGAGGGTGGGCACTGGCATTTAAATATCGATCTATTGAATAGTAGATCTCTCTTTAAATACTGTTTGCTGCTTTTAAAAATACAAAGCAACTGAGATGTTTCACTTCTTTGACCTCAAGAAGCACAAAGATTTGAGGGTAAGCAATTTGAGAAAAATCCTGTGTCTTTTTCTTTCATACAAAAAAGGATTCTTTATTTGCTGTAAAATGGCAGACTCTCACGGGGAAAGGAAAAGGCCTCTAGTAGAGTTACAGCTTCCATTTTTCTCTTTCATGGAAAAGCCTGACAATTTTGAAAATTGCTATAATAAAAAATGCAACCAATTGAAGGTATGAACATCTAGCTTTTAAAAATGAGAAGGAAATTATGCTTTTCTTTTCCAAGACTGCCAATATGTATCCTTTAGAATTTCAAGAATTTTAAAAGACCTCGGTGCTTTTAGAAAAGCAATATTGTAAGTCAAGGCAGAATGCTGTGCTGGAAAAAAAAAAAGTGTACTCAGAAGTTTAAAGCAAAGGTTGACATGCAGGAAGAAAGGGGTTCAGAAAATCACTGGACATTCTTTCCTCTTCTCCCTCCTGTTTGTACAACTGTATGGCTTCATTTCATGTTCATCACAGGATTTGGGATATTTTAGCAATATATGTAACAGCAAATACTTCGTTTGTGTAAGCAGTGTATACATGTGTTATTTATGCTCTAGGGTAGAGTAGATGATGTGGTTGTACGTTTCTTAAGGTGCTGTTTCTGTGATAAGCAAATGAGTTTATGTCCATGTTCTCGCAAGTTGGACTGGGATACTGTGTAAAGCGCTGGTCCCATGGATTGTCTTTTAGAGGTTTTTTTCTCAGTTTCTAAAAATCAGATGCTTACCACAGTGGTGGTAGGGCAAAATGTAACCTCTTTCCTGGAAAGAGATATTTGCCTCTTCTGTTCTGAAAATATCCTTACTGAAGATTTGAAGATACTGTGCTTAAAGCCTTCAACCTGAACTTATACTCAAAGCTTAATTCAGCCATGGGAGTTTGTGCTTCTGGGTATAGCGTACAGTGTGCGCTATCTGTGTTACACAGGGGTCATATGTTTGCTTCTTTCTTGCCTGCTAGCTGCTTTTGCATCTGTGAAACGGATTTTAAATAAAGAACTCATTCTTTTATGTCCAGTTACTATGTCTAATAGAAGTTTTAAAATACTTACGTTGTTCTTGGTCAAAGTGACTTAAAACTTTGAAAATGCCATAGATTTCTGACTTCTGTTATCTGAAGGACCCTTAGAAGATGACAGAGGGAATAGACGTTCCTTGAAGTCATTAAAAAAGAACTAAATTGTTCATGCAGTTTTCTGTGTGTATGTCTTCTCAAGACAGACTCAAAAATAGCATCTTTTTTTTTCTTCTTTAATAGAAATCTGGTTAAGAAGTACTGTCCTAAACGTTCACCCAAAGATGAGGAACCCAGGTAAAAATTGTGCATTTCAAGTTCTTTGTATAAGAAACAAGGACTACAGTATACTCTGTTCTTTCATAGATTTTCTTTTTTCTTTCTAAGATACAGTATTTAATTGGCTAAGACAACAAAATAATTCTGCTTGGCTTCTTGTAGTTACGCTGTAATTCGTAAGCATGAACCCTAAGTTTACTTCTGTTAGTGTTTTAAAGTAGTAAACCTGGCAGCTTGTACTCGCTCCATTCCAGATTAATCTGTAGCTAACTGAAAGTTTGAAAGGAGAAGTTTAGTATGCTATGTCCACTCTAGGATTTTTTTTTTAATAGAAAAGCAATTATGTGTTCTTAGGCTGCGTTTTTTGCTTAGTTTAGTAGAGTTCTTCAGTGCATTTGTATAGCAGTACAGATGTAGCTGTAGATTTGTATACTGAGGCTTGAGTGTACACAAAATTGTCATGTTTTTGGCAAGAAGAGCTCTTAGCCTGCTGGCTTGCTTTGACTCCGGAGACAAGCTAAGTGAATGTCTAACTGTGTAGGAGCAATTTGTGCTAAACGACTTTATTTATCAGAGAGTGCTTGTTTTGCTGTCTGTGTCCATAGCCATTTTTTTTTTATTTAGAGAAACAAAATACTTTTTTTCTTCAGGGGTAACTCTTAGGAAGGAAAGTGGGGAAGTTTCAGGTTGCAGCCAGAGCACATGCTGTGCACAGAGTGCCTGAGAATTCACACTAGGATTTCTTCTAGTTCTTTTGACTATTTAAAGATCCAGGACCACAGGGAATGGGATTTCTAGTGCTAGGGTGGCGTTTGAATTCCCCAGAGCCAAGCCTATGGAGATGGCAGTATTCCACCATTTAAAAAAAAGAAAGATGTATATTTTAATGTGGTTCCTGTTTGTTTTTTTTCTTTCTTCCCTTCCACACACACTTTCTACCCTTTGCCCCTCCTCTTCCCCCTTTTTAGTGCCAGCCATAGTGGCACCTTACTTCCAGCCAAGAGGTGGGCAGGCAAACAGGCAGCTGTCTCCAGAGCTGATAGCAAGCTTGTTCTGTAGATCATCCATCGGGATGCATATGAGTGGTATGATTGGCATGTTCCACCCTCAAGACTACCAAGCACATCATCTCTGCAGCAAGTTCAGCCTCCGAGCCTAGGAACGTATGTATCTGTTCCCAAGCTCAGGCCTCTCAGTTGGCAGCTTAGGAGATACCACTATACTACAGGGCTTTCCAGGTAGTATTCTACTTCTTTCTTTTCCATCCACAAAAAACAGTATTCTTACAAAACGTATTTGGAGAGACATTGCAACATATAGTACATGCTAGGCTTAATGTAGGCTTTCCCAACTTGCATCTCTGCTATAATTCAATTAGCATTAAGATAAGGTTTATTGTAAAATATGTATGATTTTTTATTATTATTATTTAATCAGGAGTACAAAACTACACTAAAAGAAGTCAATTTAAAAAACTGTCTCACTTTGTGTATATATATGTTTGTGCGTGTGTGCTTTCTGTCAGGTTTACTTCGTGTATTGCCTTTTTTAACATCCTTAATGAGCTGAATGACTATGCAGGACAACGAGAAGTAGTTGCAGAAGAAATGGGACACAGAGTGTACGGAGAATTGATGAGATACTCTCATGATCTAAAAACTGAGAGAAAAATGGTAATTTCTATATTTTGATTGAATAATAACATATCAAAATGGATGTGTCTTTTAACGAATTGATGTATTTGTTTACCCAATTTAACGAACTTGGCAATAAGTAGGATTTTTCATACATTTGTAAAGCACATATTTAAAGTTCCTCTGTATTTTCATTTACTGGTTTACTATAGTTACTAAACCTAAAAATTAAGATCTTGGGGGATAGTGCTTACCAGTAACTTTTTTGCCAGTGTAATTTTCATTTGTAGTGCTGTACTTGCATGATTAGTAATGTCTTCCATAGCGTACTGGTAGCTTGTGGGAGATACTGCACATGATGGTGTGTCAACTAGAGCAGGGACTAACTAATGATCATAGTCCTGAGAAGATATGTAACTTAAACTTATTTGTGGTGGTTCTAGCATCTTCAGGAAGGGCGAAAGGCGCAACAGTATCTGGACATGTGCTGGAAACAGATGGATAATGTGAGTTTGTGTTCTTTGAGTTTTTTTCCTCCTGTCAACCTTAATAATGTACAGTCTGTAAATGGAACTGTCCTCATCTTGCTTGCTCAGACTTTAATATTTAGCTATGTTACTGAATGTCCAGTCAGACTGAGTAACATGCAAAATACAGTTCAATGTATTTGTAGTTCCCTGTTTAAAAAAACCCCAGTCTCCTGTGAACAGCTTCTGTGTGTATGTTTGAGTGAAGCCTTGGCGTTTTTATCCAGCATAAAGGAATCTGTTTTTAACATGGGTACAGACATCTTTGGTTGCTTCTCTGCGGGCTGCTTTTTGTTTAGAGAGTAAATAAGGACAATTTATTTAGATGAAGATGAAATCTTATGTCACTGTATTTGACTTGAGTTTGAGAGCTTGTTGCATGAGGTCTATTGAAGGATACCACTACTGACTTAGACTTTCAGGAGGTATTGAACAACAGAGAAATGCAGATTTTCTCTACAGCAGATTATAAGCTTCTTTTTAATGAGACATGCTTTTAAAGATGATAAAATATAAAATTCAACCAATTGTGTACCAGCTGTGTTCTGATATTCTGCTGGTTTTGTGGCTTAGAAATTTATTGTATCTTTGATCCACATTATTGTAAAACGGTACTGGAAAGGTGAATTTCTGTTCTGTTGTGGATCCAGATAAGCAATGTCTTGCTTCAGTGTCTTGTCAGAGAGTTTAATTCATGGTCAGCGGATCAGAGTAGGAGCAGATGTGATGGGTTTAGATGCTGTCACCCTTCACCAAGATAATTCCCAGAGTCCAGCTCAAACAGTCTGTTGTGTGCGCTGTATTTACTTGAGTGCAAAGTCAGTCTTTTTTAATGCATACAGCCTTTAAAGGGACACATTAACCTCACTTGAGTGCAAAGTCAGTCTTTTTTAGGACACATTAACCTCGCCTGCCTGACTCTGCACTGAAGCAGGAGAGCAGAGGGTGCACAATCTGTTGCCAGTTTGTCTCTAGAGATACCAACTTCTTGACCTGCAACAGTTTTTGCTACAGCAGTTGTCTTGACAACAGCTGGATATGTTATTGAACATCAAGTACGTTGAATACTGTTGCCTCTGCTGCTTACATCTAGGCCAGTTGATGTGAACACTGATGGTAATGGGTGGGTATGCTAAGATCTCTTACTGTAGAGAAATCCTTCAGGCTACTTTCAGAATAATTTATTTGAATGTATTCAGTTAAAATTGATCACTGAAGAAAGGAACTTGAAAATTCTACTCATACAAGTGCACGTTTAAGTTTTCTGCTCCCTAACTTTTAGTTAGGTTATTGAAGTCAGGCTAGAAAGTGGACTTGTCTGATTGTAATTAACTGTGGATCTTTGCAATAAGTTATTTATTACTTTGATTATCTGATATTTTATAGCATTACAGTTATTTCCTTGCTGGTCCTTCAAGGAAATAAGTTTTAAATAGAAGAATTTAACATTTTTGAGACTTGGTTGCTGTAAGATCAGTCTCGTTAAGTAAAGATGCTTAAATGGAAGCTTTGATGTCTAGAATTCAGAATTATTATACAGAACCAAAAGGGAGTAGTGGCTGTTGAAGCAGTAAGTTTGTGGTTTTTGTAGAGCAAAAAGAAATTTGAGAGAGAATGCAGAGAAGCAGAGAAGGCACAGCAAAGCTATGAAAGACTGGACAACGACACTAATGCGACAAAGGCTGATGTTGAGAAGGTAAGAGCACTACAGGTTCTTTCTTTATTATAAAAAGTATTTTATTTGCTTGTTTATTATCAGTACTGGAACAACATTCTTTGAGTATCAAAAATTGTATATAAAATATACTTGCTTATTATGTGCAAAATCAAAGTTATTGTAAAATATGACAGAACAGGGAGGGAGTATGCTTCATTAGACTTGAGATGATGCTGTTGAGGTGATGACTGTCTTCCTTAAAGAGGCAGGCTGACTGTATTTGGTGTCTAGTGGTATGTATGTTTAGTCACTTCTCTGTTTTAGGATATGCATTTAAGTGATGTGGCTAAACGAGCTAAAATGATCAGAAAGCTGTATATATATATAACAAAGTAGATCTGTAGACTGTCAGTATATATGAATTCTCACATTCTTTTTATTTCAGTTATGAGGATGTCAGTTTTGGTGGCTTGTAATTAGTGTTTTTGCATAGTTGGTTAAGTAAAATAACGCTGTATGTCACTGAAAAGCACACAGCATGTTTGAACTGCTAATGCTTTCCTACTAGGCGAAGCAACAATTAAACCTACGCACACATATGGCTGATGAAAACAAAAACGAATATGCTGCACAACTACAGAATTTTAATGGGGAACAGCACAAACACTACTACATTGTCATTCCTCAGATTTATAAGGTAAAATAAATAACAGAAAATATGTCTGATCATCTTTTAAGGGACAAGTAGATTTTAAAATGTAAAACCTTATTTTGGGGCTGTTAGTGGATAATTTTATAAAGAAATTAGCATAATCTTGATACAACCTGCATTTTATCATGAGACTCCTTACAGTAATTATGCTCAGACTTGTAATGACAATATTCTGTTGCATTTTCTATGGAGATTTTATATTTTATAGACTCATTGCTTAAATATTGCTGAAGAGGTATGGCAAAATAAACATTTGAGACATCTGAGTGAGCGCAAACATTTAAAACAATTACTGAAAAAAGGCTTGACCACTAGTTCTCTTAATACCTCTGTGTGTGCATGAATGCTTTGACTCTGGCAGGGATGAAGGAAAGCATACAGGTAGTGGTGACTGTGTGGTTTAATGTATCTCATGTACAGGGATAAAATGGACAGAATGGAGGCAGAAGTACTTCCCCTACACCCCCAATTGGTCATTGGTTCATCAATATTACCAGCAATCCACAGAAGTCTCTAAAATAGTAATAAAAAATTAAAGGTCAAATCAGACAAATACTTTGCATCCAGAAAGGGAATTTCCCAAGGTGCTTAATGTAACTCTTAGATATTTTTTAAAGATTCTTTCAAAAAGAGACTCTGCAAAACTAGTTTAAAGTAGTTGAGGGGCGTCAGGTGAGGGAGAGGTCAGAGGTGCATTGGTATGCGCGTTCAGCCATCTGTGAGGCACTGTGACGCACTGTGACGGTAGAAACTGCCTTCTGGGACATGGGGTGAGGAAATGGAAACTAAAAATACTGACTTCATTTGAAGGTAGTACCATTTTAAGAATTCTTCATATTTTCCAGGAGCACAAGGGAGTTTGTATTTTAAAAACATACGCGATGGTCTGGTATTCACAGGAGAAAACTGCCTTGGCTTATTAAAGAATTTTCTATTCCTTTAGCTGTTCAGCAGCACTGCAGTAGATCTGGCATTAGCAGGCTGATGGAGGAATTGCAGTCAACCCTCAGGAGAAACAGTTTGATAATCTCTGTACTTTGGACCACAGTTTTGGTTTATTGCCTTTATTTCTCTAGGGTTACAATCCATTATCATTTCAAGATATTACTTGTGTTTCTTGAAATCTCCAGTAAGAGCAGAAAGGTCTAGTCCTACTTTCTCTTGGGACTACATTTTTATTATTTCCTTGCAAGTATTTGGTAATACTCTATGGCAAAGCGTTGGGAGAAGGATTTAGCGTGACTAGGTTCTTGTTTTGTTTCTTACTGGATGCTGTTTGAGATATCTGCCTTTGTTGGATCTTTTCAGCATCTACTCTAACTTCTAATGTTTTTGATAACCTGTTGGTGTATGTACTATTGCCTTTTGTTTTCTTTTCTTTTTTTTCCCCACCTTCAATTAGATGAAAGCTTCGCGACTATTATCTTAGTAGTATTTCTTTTTAATTTGTTCTTTTTGTTGTGTTCCAGTAGACCATTTTATGTAATGGTATTCTTTATTTTCTTGCACACTTCTAAAGGAAATGGTTTGTATTTCAAATCAGAGAGATGTCTAAACATCTCACAGAATTTTAATGTTTCTAATTTTTCCTATATTTTTAACCATTGGAATTTATTGGAAAGTATGTATGAAAATAAAAGCAAGATAGAGGTATTTATCACCAGAGGGAAATTATTTGGAACTAGGAGGAGAGAGTGAAGAGATGTGGAAATGAGTAGAATTTTGTTACTGTAGTTTTAATTTTTGCACAAAACAAATACTTAAACTAAATAGGTGGCTGTAGACACTGTATACGTGCTTTAGAAAAGAATATGGAAAAGAAAGTCCTCTACGTGATTTTTAAAAATGATCAGCTCTTGGTAATTACTGTTCTGGGCATCTTAAGTCTACATCTGAAAGGACTTGGTTTTTAACTTTGTTTACTTAAGCAAGTAAAAATACTGGGAAAGCACAGTAATTCTGTACTACAGCGTGGTGACTACAGTAACTGAATAGATGAGGATCAGGGAAAAAATTCTGCAAATAAAAGCTTTATTTTATCTTGCTTTGTGCTTGCAGCAACTTCAAGAAATGGACGAAAGGAGGACTATCAAACTCAGTGAATGTTACAAAGGCTTTGCTGATTCTGAGCGCAAGGTTATTCCCATTATCTCTAAGTGTTTGGAAGGGATGATACTTGCAGCAAAATCGGTTGATGAACACAGAGTAAGTGGAATTGGGTGACTTTTTAAATGTGCATGAGCAATTTAATGATAATTGAAGCTGTAAGAGGGGCGAGAGGGACTTATCCTGTACAGTTACCTTTCTGTTGTCAAATGCTTGTCTGCTTCAGTAGTGTTGTGATTTCAGTTTTAGTCTAAGTGGTCACTTCCTCTTTCGGTGTGTGTGTTCTCTTCCTGTGTTATTACTTTCTTGTGATCTTTGACGCTTTCTCACTTTCTGTGATTTTGGACACATCGTTTTGGTTATCCTAAAATGTTCTAGAATACCAGCATGATTGGTATTTTCTCTAGCATGTCACATTAAATCATATGAAGGGTGTTCAGTTAACAAAGTATCATTCCAAGACCTGATGATTGCAGGTACTGGCACTTTCTTACTCCTAATACCGTTCTTCCCTGTTTTATCTTACTAAACCTAGTTTCTTAGTGTTATCTTCATTTCAGTGCTAATGTTGAAGGATTAGAAGGTGGGGTAGTAGTCTTAAAGCATGTCCTGTTTTAAATTTGTGATAACTTTTGGGGAGTATTTACTGGATTCTGAATAGAAGGGTATGCTTTGATAAAAGAACGTACCTTATCTTAACATTATCTAGCCAAAAGGCATGCATTTTGAGCTTGCCCTCCATTTCCCAGCTGTGCACCTCTGCAATTAAAGGGAAAATTTATGTCTCCTGTGTTTTTCCCTCTCTGGTTCTTGGTGGGTTTGCTTGTTTTGCTTCTTAAACTCCTTAATGTCTAATGTTTAGGACTCTCAACTAGTGATAGACTGCTTCAAATCCGGTTTTGAACCTCCCGGAGATTTTCCATTTGAAGATTACAGTCAGAATATTTACAGAACTATCTCTGATGGAACCATCAGTACACCAAAACAGGAAGGAATGAGAATCGATTCAAAAACTACAGTGGGCAAGGCTAAAGGAAAGCTGTGGCTGTTTGGAAAGAAGCCAAAGGTAACAATTAAGAGATTACTATTTGGAAAAGTAAAATGTGAAGATCTAGAGTGCATGGAAGCAGCTATTTATTTATTTTTAAATAACCTTCCCCTTGCCTGCCACTCTCTTTAAAAAAAAATGTGTAAGGAGATCTGAAGGTTTGACTAGGGCTGGATACTTCCCATATTAGAAACCAAGTTCTTGCTGGGGAAAGTGTTCCTATTTTTCTTTTAGTGATTTCTTTCTGGGAATTATTTTTAATAGTTATTTGATAAAAGTAGATTCCTGTTTCTGTAACGTTTCTAAGTTTCTATAAAGAATTTCTGCAACTTCATAGAAAAGGGGTTAATTGTGAATGTAAAAATAAGGAGAAGGGGAGTATGCTTTGGAATCTGGCAGACTTCAGATCTCTTTTATGCCACAAAAAGCAACCCCTTTCTAAATGTCACCTGATGTAGATGTTTATATATAGGAGCGTTACATAGGTTTTTATTATACCTGGTGCTATTTTTTAACCTTTCTGAGATTTGTCTTAAAACTTTGAAATTTATAATACCTCATTGATAAAACATACTGTTGAAGCTCCATACAGGTAAATGTCCCCGAAGAAATATTACTATGATGTAGGTAAAAATATTCCTATGCTCAAAAAGCAGAGAAATTACTCCTTACTTGTATTATTATATGAGTTTCAATTAACACTTTCTGTGCAATATACCTTCATGGATCAACAAAAAAATATTACCAATACATGCATTAGCTATGTAAGTCAGTAATGAACCATACACATATTTATGTTTTATGCTCTGTCTTTATTTAGTATTGGAGCATATCAGTGAGTTGTTTTAATGATTCCCACAAATTTCTATGAGCTTATTATAATGCTCCAAGGCACTTTCTGCCCTTTATTATAGGCAACTATTTTTGGAGCTTCTAAGTGGTGGGATTTATTTTCCACTTGATAGTAAGCAGATCTCTACAGAAAAAAAGGATATAGCTGATTCTTTATACCCTCCTTGCTATATTATGTAACTGCAGCTGTGTGTTAAAATGAAAGCTGATTGTTTACTTTTCATGCAGTATAATTAATGATTGATAATCATTTAAGTGCACTAATGCGTTAACGTATTTATTGTATTTGGCTGCAGAGGTGGGTGAGATTCAGCCTGTTCTGAAATTAGATCATGGTTATCAGTTTGACAAGACATCTTTCCGAGACTTCTGGAGAGGGAGGCTGTGAAAATCTGCATTGGTTTTCAGTCTGGACCTTGGCATTTACTGTAGTTAGAAGAAATTCCTTAGTATGATGACAGCTGAAGAAAGCTGGCAGGACTTCCCTACTCTTTCTTCTCCCCGGTTCGTTCACTTTGTATGTAACATCACAACGTCAGACATAGTGTTTCCTGTACAGAATCACAGCTATACATGCGTGTACATGTGCTACACACATCTCCTCCTTAAGGACCTAGAGGAAATTGAAGATTATGTCCCTTTTTTTCACCTGTTTTTGGGGAGGATGGAGGGGTGGGGCACTCTACAAAGCAGCAGCTGGGCAGAGTACTTATCAGGAGACAAGTATTTAACTCCAAATAATTATTGACACTTCTAAAAATATCTTCTTAAATTAGCTAATATAAAAATATGGTGATTTATTCTAGCTGGGGTATTCATGGTGGCCTTTCGGCCTACATTTAGCTGCAACTATTGCTGGTCTTGACTTCCAGCTATGCATTTGCCTATTTCTGATGTTGTCAAAGACAGAAAAGTCTTTGGAAAGGGAGCGAGTTGTGCAGCAGAAGAAACAGTACAGAAAAATCAAACTGGGAAAAAGCAACAGAGGTGTGAGAGACAAAAAAAGCAATTTGAAAAAAGGGGGAGGAAGAAAGTGGAGGAAGTTCTTGTGATGATATTGATAAAGAATGCCACACAGCCATTGTGTCAGTCCAGTTTGACTACAGAGATTGAGGCTTTGTGTTTTAGTCAGTTCTCTGTAGATGCACCTAATATTTCTACTTTAGCTTACCTGGTGGGGTTCATCAAAACGTGGAAAGAAGCAGTGAGCAGGAACGCACAAACTTCCAGAACGGCTGTAGCTTAAGTTGGGAAAAGCAGAACTTCCTGTTCTAAGAAAAGAGCCAGGCAACTTAAGGGTCTTGTTAGGATCTTGTGGAAGTGTTGAGTCTAAAGCTTTACTTGGATATTCCTTCATTCTCTGCACCAGCCTGTAACTCTGAGGATTAATTCCTGACAGAAGCCTTTTAAAACCAATGCAGTTATAGTGTAAATATGGAACGTTACAAGCTGTTTCTGTGTTGGATGGAAATTTTATTTTTGTAAGACAGAATATTCATTTTAAATTCACTTTGAACATTTGGCTTATTTATTGCTTTCTTTATTTCCACATTAGCCACAATCCCCACCCCTAACCCCTACTAGTTTATACACATCCAGTACTCCTAATGGGTCCCAGTATCCCATATTCTCCATTGAACCAGTGCATTATTGCATGAGTGACATAAAAACAGGGAAGCCCAGAATTCCTTCTTTCAGAAGCCTCAAAAGAGGGGTAAGTTTGATAACAAGTTGAAATGCATGATGGGCTATGAGCAGTGTGTTTGTGGTGTGGCTTTTCTAATGCTCTTCACCCTCATTATAAGGCTTACTGTGTTAAAAGTAACACTTCAGCTATAAGGTCACTGTTAGGATGCTTTGTTTCACACTGTCCAGAAGTTACCAACAAGTTAAAAATAAAATGAAATAGAAATAATCTTTATTGCATTCCAAATACTTGTGCCTAAAAGAAAGGTGTTATAAAGAGGGTGCTCAGCATGTGTTTGATACCTTTCTTCATTGTTGTTCACATTCACGGATGTTTTCCTACCACCATGTAACATTTTTGCAGTAATTCATCATTGGGTATATAGTCACCACAAAAACACAGATCAGATCAGATGTCTTATTTGCTGACTTCAAATTGAGATAATAGTAGGTTATTATGAGACACTGGACTAAGAAGGAAGAAATGTAATTTCTCTTGTACATCAAATGCTGTAGCACATGGTTCTTGCAGATTTTGAAATACTGATTTTTTTGAAACATTACAATTTTAATGCATTTTCTGTTTAATAAATTGTCCTGGTTTGTCCAGGGTTCTTTTGGGTAAAATTATTCAGAAAACACTCCCAAATGCCACCTTCTGAGATCTTCCAATTCATTTACTAATTTATAGTGGCGTGTTCTGCAAATAGAATTATTTGGAAGAAAATAAAAGGGAAATGTTAACTGGTTTCCTAGCAACATTTATAGTCCTAGTGATAAATATACTGGCACTTCCCTGTTATGTCAGTGAAGCATAAGCTGCCCAGGTCATGTACATTTTGTGATATTTATTCATCCAAATAATGAGATAATTGGATGCATTCGTCTATATATATAATTCATTGTATATAATTTCTCATATTTGAAAACAATATCGACTTGCTATCTCATCTGCATCAAGAATGGTTGACAGCTGTTGGTGTGGATATCAAAGTACCATGTTATATATTTCTTGCAGTAAAGTTATGATTTAGAGGTTCCCTTGCTGTTATTCAGAAACACAGTGAGGTACACTTAAAACTTAACTTTCTTCATCTTTAAGTCACATTGTGTCATCTTACTTCAGGCCCCTGGGTATCTTGGAAATACCCTTTCAACCACCACCACTTTTTACAAAATTCTTGTGGCCCTATAAGTATTTATGGAGGACAGTTTCTCCTTTCCCCTTTTGAGTCACTTATAATTTGTTCTGATCATGAAGATGATGCTTTTCTACCAGAATTAGGTAGTTATTGAAGTGGCACAAGACTTGATTACACCTTTTTGTTGGTCACTAAACGTATTGAGTCCTGGCTCACAAATTAAAACTTTGTACTAGCAGTAATTCTAGAAACTCTTACTGAACCAAAGATTAGCTCGTCACCACTAGAGAATGCTAATGGAAAAAGAAACCACATTTTTATTTTATTTTTTTATTCTTACAGTTCATTGTTCATGTTCTAAAAGTGAATGGATTTAATATGGAATAGTAGTCCATAAAATCAGCAAGGATCACAGATTCACAGAATAGTTTGGGTTGGAAGGGACCTTAAAGATCATCTAGTTCCAACCCTAGTGGGGGCATCCACTTCACAGGGCAACCTGTTCCAGTGCCTCACCACCCCTTCCGTGAAGAATTCCTTCCTTACAGCTAATCCAAACCTCCCCGCTTTCAA